AGAATTAAAAAAAAAAAGTAGGAAGAATTTATTGAAAGATAGCTTCTCAGACGGATGGAAGGGCGAACAGAAAGTGGGTTGCCTGACGACCTCACTTCTCAATATTGAGCAAAACCACAAGGTGAGGGGTCAAGGTAGGACAAAACTACAGTGAACTAATAAAATTGCAGATATAGTCCCTTAGGTAATATTTACTCAATGGGAAATCATGAGGTGGGACAAAACTATGAATAGTATGATTACAACAAGTATAGTCACTTAGGTAATATTAAATGTTAATCAAATGGGAAAGTTAGTCATGCAGCAAGCATACATGGAAGGAACCAGGACTTCCCCAGAAGGAATGGACTAAGGGGGTTTTGGTCCCTCTCCAAGGTAACTGATCACAAGATCAAGCAGTTTTACATTTGGTGGCATTTTGGGCCGGGGATTTAGCTCAGTGGTTCCACCGCCTGCCACAAGCGCAAGGACCTGAGTTCGATCCCGGATACAAAAAAAAAAAAAAAAACTTTAGGCTATATGGCAAAGGAACATTTGGTGGCATTTTGATTTCCAATTAGGGCTGCTCAACCTAAGAAAAAATTCAGCTGTTTTCATTAAGCCAAATAAATATTCAAGACATCTGCCAAATGTTTTCCAAGTTATTTTCCATTCAAATGAGGCTGCCATAATCATAAAATAATATGATTACACCTGTAATCCCACCACCGGGGAGGCTGAGGCAGAATGAGCACTACCACCCTGAGGCCATCCTGGGCTTCATATTGAGTTCAAGGCCAGCCTGGACTATATAGCATGACCCTTCTCAAAAAGGCAAAAACAAAACTGTTTACACATATGACTACCAAATAACCCAGATAATTATGTTATTTTAAATATTTTGCTAGTATTACAAAATAAATTTCTAAAGAGTGGTTTCTTGTTAATTATTGGTTAAGAATCAAGCACGATAAAAGTAAAAATGGAAGCCAGGATTGGTGGCACACATCTGAAAACCCAGCACTGGGGAGGCTGAGGCGGGAGGATCACTGTGAGCTCAAGGTCAACCTGAACTACATAGCATGAACCTGTTATAATGAACGAATGAGGGCTGGGGATTTAGCTCAGTGGTTTCACCCCCTGCTGCACAAGCACAAGGACCCGAGTTCGATCCCCAGTACCAAAAAAACAAAAACAAAAACAAAAAAATAAACGAATGAAGGAATGTATTGACTGGTAGGTTAAGAGAATTTCTCATCTTAAATCCTGGGCCTACATTTGAGAAGTATGACCACCAGCTGATTACTCTTTATAAAGGTTATTCTAAAAGATGTATTATTTAAGATTTCTCATAAAATGAAGAATGAACTACTTTCAAAACAAGTGTCACAATTATTGGACAGCTCAGTGGAAGAGCACTTGCCCACCATTTATGAGGCTCTAGGTTCAATCCCCAATACTGAAAAACAAAAACACGCCCACAAATACTACAACATAACTTTTAAAGACTAACCTTTCCTATTTTGGACAAAAGGCAAGTTGCTTATGCAGCTGTGAAGAAACAACTGACCTGGAAAAATGCTGAGCAAAAGTAGCCACATAAAATTCTGTATGCTCCCCTCTCCGTGAAGTGTAAGACCAGGCAAAACCATCTGTAGTAGAGTTGTGACTGCAAACAGAACCAAGGGGACTTACAGGATTCTAGTAATGCTTCCTCTAACAATGACTCCTCTGGTCATTGTTCACTTTCAGTATCACATACTATTATGCCTATTCATCAGAAATTCCCTGTCTTCTCTGTATTTTTTTCTTCCTCTTCATATCCTGTGAGTGGCTTAACTAATCTGATTACCAGTGTCTTATACTCCATATCCACTCTCTTGAATTCTGCACAAGCCCCTTTCATAATCACTCCTAAGAATTCCTGTTGTATAGGGGCTGAGTGCAATTCATTGGCAAAGAACATGCTTAGCATGCACAACACCTTGGGTTTGAACCCCAGCCGCAAGAAAATACAGGATATGTAGAAAATTGTATGGTTTAATGTTTGTCAACCAAGTACACAATGGACTACACTCATTTCTATTCCTCTTTTCAAGGGGGAAGGAGCGTAATGACTGCCCTCTCTGTAGCACAAGACTGGACAACTGCTGTTGGGGTAGAGATAAGCAATGAGCTGTTAACATTTTCTTGAGGTCCCTGTATCCCCGCCATTTAATCTCTTTGCATACTTTAGTCCCATTCCTTTTTTCAAATTTGTACAAAATTTAAAAACTGTATTATACACTAGATGGTGATTATGAAGGGTGTGCCTTATTTTTATGAATTTTAGACATGTATTAACGTTTTCTGGACCACACTTTTTCTACATAAGCTAAAATATCACACTTTCTACAAAGGGTTGTTTGAGCAGAAGCCCTAATGGGGTTTTGCACAATGTGGTTTACTGGAGATACTTACCAAGCAGCCAAACTAGCACTTGACACTGTGACTGGCAATATACATATTCTTATACCCCCAATGTCTTACAGAAAGGTAATTTCTCCACATAAAGGCATTCATTAACCATTTAACTAGCTGTCTAGAATATCCTGCTACACAGACACTTTTTAGAGATAAGATGTTTAATACTCAAAACAGATAAGACAAGTTTATAAAGTTAAATTCAACAGATAGTGTAAGCATGTGGTAGCTTTTGCCTTTTTAAAGTGCAAAATAATGGGTTGTCTTTTAAGTTGAGTTATAAGAGTTAAATGTTGTTTGCCTCCAGACAAAATTTTAATTAGACATACAAGTAGGAGAAAGCCACTTTTAATCGAAAAATAAAGACATACATTTCAAATAAGACTGTGTAGGGCTGGGGATTTAGCTCAGTGGTTCCCGGCACCTGCCTTGCAAGTGCAAGGTCCTGAGTTCGATCTCCGGTACCAAAAAAAAAAAGACTGTGTAAAAATGATAATTTGTTGAGAAAGCTTTCCTAAGTGATTTGTGAAATTTAGGTATTCAAGTATTAACAGTTCCCTATTTTATCCTCAGATAAAAGCAGATTTTTCCCATCCATGAATTTATCATGAATTAAATCTGTAGTCTATCACCTATTCCAAACCCACTGACAAAAAGAAAGATTTTAAACAATTATTCCCATTCTGAGAAGTCCCCAGAGAAAAGGAGTCACTATTTTCCTTATGAAAAATCTTAGATGAAAGACACACATGACATTGATATGTAACTCATTCAAAAAATTTCAAAGTATATTCATCAAGAAGATCTCGACTACAATTTTTCTTTAAAGAAGCTTGCAAATTCCACAATGGTTTAAGTGGACACGGTGGACATAAGAAATTACTAAAGTTATTGCTTTAAACTGGAAAAAACTATGGCCAAAGTCTCTTTTTAAAGAGTTCTTTGTACAATTATTCTTAAAATTACTCGTGTAGCTGCAGGGAAAATGTTTAAGCATGTAGGTAAACATCACTCTTGAGAATGACAGAACAAAGGCATTAGGATGTATGGCTTTGTGTGTGATTGTTATAACTATCTATAAATAAAGTCATCACTGTTTGACTGAAAAAGGTTTTTATAAAACTCCACTTCCAAAATTAACACCTTTATTAAATCAAGTTTAAAAAAATGTTCACTGTAGAAAAGTCAACAAGAGTTTTAAGAGAAACAAAATATATCTTTTTATATAATATATGTATATATTAGCAGCAAACTACTTCTGAGATTTTATGATCTTTTAGTTATTTATTTTAAAGAAAGCATAAACATTGTATATTAGTATGGAATGTAAGCAAATCCAATCTTCATCCTTTATTCTGTAATTTGGGACCTTCTACAAAATACTTTAGGATTCCCATTACTGAATACTACAAACAAATCTCATTTTGACTAAAAAGTAGTGAAACAGTGGCTAGTAAAAATCAACCAGTTGCACATTATTCTTGAGAATAACAAATGAGCACCATATACAGATAACTGTGTGTAAACTCAATTTTTAAGATGTAACAGCAGCCAACTATTTCATTTAACATTTGTTACATTTTAAAAATTCAGTGACATATAAAATTTTAATCAAATCAGATAAACACTTCAATCCTATATTGCTTTTCCATTTTTAAAATCCTTAATAGAAACTTATAACCAAATGGCATGCAAAGATGTATATGTATATATGTACACATACAAAAATGTATGCATATATATCTTTAGCTTTGAATGCATTTCTTTAAACATCTTATTTCTCTGTAAATATATTACCACCTGAAAATTTGTACTGTAAGTTTCACCTTAGCTATTGAGAAACACTGGCTATTGAAAGTTCCAAGGCCAAAGAACTGTTATTCAGCTTGGTATGTATCAGGCTTACAAATTCATCAAACAAGATTGAAATGACCAGCTGCCCATCAAGAAATACATTTTTGTCTTGACATATCCTAATAGCAAAAAGAAAATATCTTTAAAATGATCTTTCAGTTTTTAAACTTTAATTACTAAAAAAAAAATTCTCACTAGTTTTGAAAATACTAAATGTTATCATAAATACAATTTTTTCATAGCTGAATTCATCAGCTAGAATGTATTTTTAAAAACTTCCTTTGGATTATTCCATTTAGCACTTCAAGGTTCCATTCTGCAACTTTGACAACTGGCTCAGATTTGTTAGGTTTACATCAATTGCATCTTTCAGAATTTGCTGTGTTACTTGTATACAAAAAAGTAAATGGGAGGAATTGCACCAAATTTCAAAAGCAACATAATAATGAAAAATTCAATCATATGCAATATAAAAAAAGATGAAGTACAACCTTTTGCACGCTTTTAAAGTAATACTGTAACTTTCATTTTTTTTAACTTGTCCAAGAGGATGAAGTAAAACTTTTAGGTGGCCCACTTTTATTTTTCAATTAAAAAACTTAGATAGACAATTACTTTTATTAATATACACATCAAGTTATTGAAATGATGACTTCATGTAATTTTCCCCTTAAACATGGCACTTGCAGGTACAAAGATGCAGAGATGTCTACAGACTTTAGATGTTTACTTGAAAAGATTCTTCAACAGCAGTTTGATACTGGGTTTCCTCATCTAGCTGAAGATTCTTAAAAACAAAACAAAATAAAAATTAACGTGTCAATTGGAAAATACTCAACCATTCAGTATTTTTCCCAATATATTACACTTGTGGATATACATTACACATACCCAGGACAGCTTACATGTGTCATAAAGTATACTTTAAAATGTAAGATTAAGGGGCAGAGTGACATGGCACTATAGTCCCTTTGACTCTGGAAGGTTAGGAAGAAAGATCATTTGAGCCCAAGAGTTCAGGCCAGCCTGGATAATATAGCAGGACCCCATCTTTTAAATAACACTTAAACACCTCAACTTTAATTAAAAATTAGGTTCAGTTGTAATTATTTAGGAATGAATAGTATCAGACAATGGGCAGAGAATGAAAATTTACAGTGCCTGGTAGTCATTAATCAAAATTATACTTAATTGTAATCCACAGTCATGTGAGATAAATTTGTGCTATTTCTAGAAAAGAATGCCAAATATCTGAAGGCAAACTAATTTTAAAGAAAATAAGCATTTATTAACACTTGAATAACTAATAGTTCCTTAACCGGAACATGAAACTAAATACTACAGCTCACTCAATCTAAGTTACATAAGAAAACTAGTTCTTGGCTGACAGTGTAACTTTATGGTGGTATGTGTGCTTATCAGCATCCCCAAGGTCCTGAGTACAAAACAAAACAAACGAACAAACAAACAAAAAAGCCCAACTACCTACTCCTTAACTTCAGAAATACGACTTGCTACGAATTTTATGTCCCACTGATTTGCTTAAAATGGAAAGGCTTCTACTTAACCTAAGAAAATTACAATTACATAGTTTTCTATGACAAAGTTAAAAGTACCTCAGAAAAAAAAATTTTTTTCCAAAATACAGTCCTCTAAACACAGCAACTTTTCTTATGAGGAAAACTGAGTAATAATCTACAGTTACTTAATATAATTGCTAAGACAACACAGTACACATGAACTTCACACAAATTTTAATTGTTTTGCAAAAGTAGATTAAATGTAAAAATTCCACCAAATTTTAAAAAGTATCAAAAATTATGTAATTTTGGGCGAGGGATTTAGCTCAGTGGTTCCAGCACCTGCCTCAAAAGCGCAAGGTCCCAAGTTCAATGCCTGGTACCAAAAAGGAAAAATTATGTAATTTCAACGTAGAGGGCAAAGAAAAAATATTAACTTTGTTCATGCCACTGTGAGAACTGCACTTTAAACTGGAAAACAAATATCAGCCATTCTTTGTCAAAATTCTGAATCAGTCTTAATTACATTGAAGTTGAATAAAATGCAATTTCATAATTAATAAAAGATTAATAACCAAATTCAGTAGTGTAGCTGGATACAAAGTCAACACTCAAAAAAATCAGTAGCCTTCCTGTACACGAATAACAAATTAACTCAGAGAGAAATTAGGGAAACACCTTTTACAACAGCATCCAAAAAAATGAAATACCTAGGAATCAATCTAATAAAGAAGTTAAAACACCTCTACACTGAAAACTACACTAAAGGAGATCGAAGAGGACATCAGAAAATGCAAAGATATCCCTTGTTCCTGGGTAGGCAGAACCAATACAGTGAAAATGTCCATACGTCCAAAGTTGTTATACAGATTTAATGGAATTCCAATCAAAATTCCAACAGCATATCTCACAGAATTAGAGAGAACAATCCTAAAATTCATTTGGAACCAGAACAGACCTAGAATAGCAAAGGCAATTCTGGGCAACAAACGCAAGAAAGAAGGCATTCACAATCCCTGACTTGAAATTACACTTCAAAGCTCCTGTGATAAAAACAGCATAGTACTGGCAAAAAAAAACAGACCCAAGGATCAATGGAACAGACTAGAAGATGCAGAAACAACTCAGTACACATTCAGCCACCTTATCTTTGACAACACCTTCACTGGGAGAAAGCCTCTTTAATAAACAGTGCTGGAAAAACTGGGTTTCAGCTTGCTAAAGATTAAAACTAGACCTATATCTTTCACCATGCACTAAACTAAAATCAAAATGGATCCAAGATCTAAATACTAAAACAGAAACATTTAATCTGCTGGAAGACAGAATAGGTAGAACTCTCAAAGACATTGGTGTAGGCATAGACTTTATGAACAAAACCTCAAGTGCACAGGAACCACCACAAAGAATCAACAACTGGGAACTCATCTTATTAAAAAGCTTTTACATAGCAAGAGAAACCAACAGAGTGAAGTGACAATGCACAGTGTGGGAAATAATTTTTGCCAGCTGTTCCTCAAAGGATTACTATCTAGAATATACAAAGAATTAAAAAAAAAAATCAGACCCCGCTCCCAAATTTAAAGACCCAGTCCAAAGTGGGTATCTGAAATGAAAAGACAGTTCTCACATGAAGTAGAAACAGCAAATAAATCTATGAAAAAATGTTCAACATCACTGGTCATTCGAGAGGTGCAAATTAAAACAACACTGACATTCCAACTCACTCCAGAAAGAATGGCTGTTATCAAGAAAGCAACCAATAACAAATACTGGAGGGGCTGTGGGGGAAAAGGAACTCTTCTCCACCTGCTGGTGGGAGTGTATACTGATGCAACCACAGTGGAAATCAATGTGGAGATGCCTCAAAAAACTAAAACTAGAGATCCCATTTAACCCAGCTATTCTCTTTCTGTTATCTTCCCAAAAGAATTAAAAGCATCATAGCACAGTGATATATGCACACTCATGTTTATAGTGGAACAGTTTGTACTACCTAATCTTGGAAACAGCCCAAATGCTCATTAACCAACAAATATATAAAGATGTGGTTTTTAATACAACGGAGTACTACTCTGCCATAAAGAATGAGCTTGAGACATCTACAACTACATGGATGCACCTCAAGACCATACTCTTAACATGAAACAAGTCAGACACACATGTTTAAATACCACATTGTTTCTCTGGTGTTATCAACTAAAAGTAAAAATAAAAAAACTAAAATGTATGATAGATACTGGGAAATGGGAAGAAAATGTTCAAATGAGAAGGGAAACAAGGGAAGATGGAGGGGAAATGGAAAGAAGGGACAAGAAAAAAAAATAGAAGCAAAAAATGGAAACAAAGCTTTTGTATATAACAAAGCTTTTGTATATAAGGGAGAGGAATAGGAAAAAAGAAGCAAGATCTATCACGTACAGGTACAAATTCCCTATAATGAATGTTATCACTATGTATATATAAAATGTACCAATGTTTTGCTTCAAAAAAATTAATAGAAGAAACCACCTAATTTTTTTTTTTAATTATACCACATTTTTGCTTTCGGGAGTCTCTTGTTTTATTTTGTTTTTGTAGTGCTGGGGACTGAGCACAGGAGTCTGTGTATGATAAGAAAGCATGCTACCACTGAGCTACATTCCCAGCCTTTGTGGAGTCACTTTTGTATTACATGACTTCCTTCATTCACTTTGTTGTCACTTTGGCTTTACAAGATAATTAAGCTCAAAAAAAAAAAAAAAGATAATGAAGCTCTTCCATTTAAAAAACAAAACCAGTAAAAAGTAAGTAAATAAATTGTGTCTCATGTGCTAGAGATGAGAGCACTATTACAGTGGTTTTAATAAGTAAAGTACACTAGATGAGATATATCCTCAATATGTTTTACCAATCTTACCTCTCAAGCAGGCACAATTTTTCCTTAATTTTATAGACAGTTTTTATATAAATCATCATTTAGTTAATCTGGAAGTTGGTTCTTTTTTTCTTTTCTTTCTTTCAATTTTTTTGAGACAGTCTTGCTAAGTAGTCCAAGCTGGCCATCAACACCCTATGTAACCCAAGCTAGCTTTGAGCTCCTGCCTCAGCCTCCAGAATGCTCTAGGAATACAGGCACTCACCACAGTGCCAAGCAGGGGTTTGCATTTCTATTAATTCTCTCTCTCATATAAACAGCAAATTCAATTTTTACCATTTCTTTAAAGTTCACCAATATTATTACCAAAAACAAAAGAATATGTTCTAAATCCAATCAGTATGATTCAACTGCTTGCCTTAACTCAAGTCTATGGCCGGGGATTTAGCTCAGTGGCCGTGCCTACCTTGCAAGGACAACCAAGGTCCTGAGTTCGATCTCCGGTACCAAAAGAAAAAACAAAAAAACTCGACTAGATTGAAAAGTTAATTTAACTTAATTATTTAGACAGTACTTTCTTAATCTTGAAGAACTCACCACAAATTCTCCATAATCAAACTGATGTCTTTGATTTAGATGACTAACGAAATTTCTAGTAATCTGGCTAGGATCTCCCCAAGGAAGAGACACACAAATAGGACATGTCTACAAGAAACAGATTGTTTTGAATAAAAAATAATGAAAATAATCAAACATTATATAATTATTGAAAGTATTAAAACACAGGCTGTTACTAAAAAACTTCAGGCATATCTTGCTTTACTACACTTTGCTTGCATTTTACAGAAATATCTGTTTTTACAAATTGAAAGTTTGTGGCAACCCTGCATGAACCAAGTCTACTGTCACCATTTCAACACATTAAATGATCATTAATTTCTTTTTTTTTAGCAATAAAGTATTTTTTATCCAAAGTATGTACACTGTTTTTGTTAGACACAGTACTGTTGCAGACTTTTTTTTTTTTTTTTGAGACAAGGTCTCTGCTTTGTAGTTCAGGCTGGCCCTGAACTCACTATAATAGACCAGGCTGGCCTTGAACTCATGGCAATCCTCCTGCCTCAGCCTCCCAAGTGCTGGGATTACAGGTGCACGCCACCATGCCTGGCTGCTGGAGACTTTTAAAAAAAACTATAGTGTAAAACTTTTATTTACATTGGAAATCAAAAAAATTTTACTTTTTAATGCAATATTTGCTTTATTGGAGAGAGCTGAAACAAAACCTGCAGTATGTCCAAGGTATGCCTGTACATGAAAAATATTTCAAGGGCCAAATTCCATGTCTAGATCATTTCCCAACCAAATTACCTTAAATAACAGTAATATAATACAATGTAATGAGATCTTAGATATTCTATTTAATCTGCATTTATACAACTATCTCAACAGAATCACTACATCCAGCCTTTTAACACCAATTCTAATGAGTTATCATTAACTGCCTACAACGTATGTAGCATATAAACTCATCTGATCTACACAAAACTATAATTATTAACTTCATTTCACGTGGATGTAAAATGAAAATGAAATAATTATAAAGTTTAAGTTGTATCCTTAAAGTTTTAAATGAAGTACTACAACTATAAAAGTGAATGGATGAAGGGCCGGGGATTTAGCTCAGTGGTTCCGGCGCCTGCCTAAGTGCAACTCCTACCGAGTTCAATCCCTGGTACCAAAAAGTGAATGGATGAAATACTGAAATGATGTAAAAGGAACTTTATTAACTGGACATTAGCTAACATTCATAATACATTCAATATTATACGGAAATAAATAAAAATTTGGTAGTTCAATATAAAAGTAACTGAAATCTCTTAAATATGAAAGGATTTCCTAGGGACTTTCATTGTCACCGTATTTATTTGAAAGACACTGATTCCCTTCCTAAAAGTGAAGTAGGTGATATGTTCCCTGGAGGTTATGCAAGAGTATAAGGGAATTTTCAACAGTTAATGCAGACTATGTTCTTCACAAATTGTTCTAAAATCTAGTAAAACATCTTAGAAGTAGCTACAATTTGTGTTGATACATTTTCCTCCATTTGTGTTTTCCAAGAAAATACTTTAAATGTTTAGCTGAAAAGAAAGTATCCCTTTTCAGCTCAGTTGCTCTTGTTCCACGAGCCACAGTTAAAAATCAATTATGTGGGAAACTCATGTTCAAAGTGAGTTGTTCTAGAACCATTACCACAATGCAGGAACCCTGCACTCAGTTCTACCTTCCTTATTCATCAGAGGTTCCCATCACCTTCTAATTCACCTTTAAAATGGCATCAAAGACATATGTATACATCAAAAACAAAGTATGATTCTTTTCCTTCTTTGTTTTGTGAAGTCATATACTATACTAGGTCCTGCAAGAATACAAATGAAAAATACCTACTGGCTTTATTCTTATTTATAGGTATTTTCACCTGCAACAGATCCATCTGATTAGATCCACTGTCTGCAGCTGACAGAGCAAGAAATTAAAAGGACTCAACAGAAATAGGTTCTGACATTACTCAATAAACAGTCTCACGTTCATTTTCCATTACTCTCCTCCAGACTGTTCTATACTACCTTACAATAAGCATCTCCCATTTTATGATTTAAGTTACTGGAATTTTAATTAACTTACTTTGTTTCATAGTCACCGATCATTTGACAAAAATCTATCTTATTGACAGTGCCCCTTCCTTTTTTTGGTTTTTTGAGACAAGATCTTGCTATGCAATTCAGGCTAGCCTTGAACTCACTATGTAGCCCAGGGTCACCTCAAATTTGAAGCAATCTCCTGCCTCTGCCTCACGAGTGCTGGGATTGTAGGCATGCACAACCTCGCCCAGCCCCATTCTAAATTTAAATCACTGGGCTGGGGAGTTAGCTCAGTGGTGCTGCCGCCTGCCTTACAAGTGCAAGGTCCAGTGTTTAATCCCCAGTACCCCCCAAAAACGAAAAAATCAAAACAACAAAAAAAACCCAACGAAATTTAAATCATTAATCTTCCCTTCTCTGTATATGAAACAAAGGATCAACATGCTTTAAGCACGACACTGCCTTAAACACTTGTACTTACCACAGGTACTATCTGAAATAGGTGGTTACTATTACAGTGATCCAGTAAGCGCTGTCTGGTAAAATTGGACTCTTGACACAAGGGACACTTAAAGGTGGGATGCCCAGAAGAACTAAAAAAAAAAAATAAAAAATTTAAAACAACTGAAAAATCATAACATACCATTCAAGGATTATCTCATTTTGAAAATACGTTTTCAACAAATGATCTGGAATAAAAATTCTCAATCTCAGTTGACAGTACTACTGTTTTGTTGACTGTTTTCATGATGCCTACCCAGCCCAAAGCAAAAACAAAAACTTAGTTGTTTTTAAGTAGTTTGAACCTCAATTGTCAATCATTCATGTAATGTTACTGTCTCCTGAAATTTTTAAATATCTTGCAATGCCTCACAGGTTGGACACCTCCTATCTAGGGATATAAAACTTTTTAAAGCCCTCATCAAATTCATCTTTAACACGTTCACAACGCGGCCATAATTCATAAGTTTCATTGCCAGATGGCTTGAACCACGAGTGAAATATGTTAATCTATCCTGCGCCCTAGGAATATAACTTACAACATTCAGAGACAAAAGCCATCAAAAAGAAAAAGAAAAAAAACCCAGAAAACCTGACCAGAATGAAGCACCTTCAAAATTTTCTAAAGATCAAGCATCACTGAGGTTTCAATACCTCTGAGAGTCAGCAAGGAAGTTTCAACACTGACAACTCTGAGTAGTACACAGAAGAAACCTAAGAGTCAAAGAGAACTGCTAACCTCTTCTAATCTGACATGATTCTTTTGTTTTTGATTTTGTGACAGTCTTGCTATGTAGTTCAAGCTGACCTTGAACTCACTATATAGCCCAGGCTGGCCTCGAACAAGCAAAACCTCCTGCTTCGGACCCTTGAGTGCAGGGATTACAAGTATGTGCCACCACCACCCCTGGCTAATCTGATATGATTCTGAAAAGCAGTAAGTTTGTCCTTTATTTCTAAACTACTAACTTCCAGAGAATAAGCTAGAGAATTAACCGAGCAAAATTTTAACTCAAAAATCTAGGACTGGGATGTAGCTCAGTGAAAGAGCACTTGGCCTAGCATGTATAAGGCCCTGGGTTCACTTCTCAGTATCTCAAACGTACGAAAAAAAATTATTATTTGGTAAAATGATGAATATTATTTAGTAAAGTGGCAGAATTTTTCAAAAGCTTACCTTGTATTCTCTTGGTAAGAGTCTGTATTATCAGATGTGGATGTTTCACTCCTATTACTTAAGCACAGGGGAAGAAAAGTTAATACTCCAAATAATAAAGCCCATTAGAGGTTCATTAACTTGAACTGTTAATAAAGAAGACTAGATTGAATTTGTTTTAAAAATCTGAACTTCAAACGGTTCCTCAGTATGAAATAAGTATGGCATTACTTCAAGTAAATTAAAAATAAGACTGCTTATTAGAGCCTTGACTCGTGTCTTTTAAAATGAATAAGCAGTTAGTAAAAGTATTGATTAGAGAATACAGAATTTTGCATTTATCTGGATTCTATTCATCTACCAGTACAATTTTAAATGGTGACGTAGACTCAAAAATTTTATGCACTCTTACACATACCCAGGAAAGGTCGTGGACTCCAAAATGGAGCAAGTTTAAGAAAATATTTTTTCAACATATTAAAAGGTATTTCACTCTCCTAAAAGAAACAAACTAGGCTTCACTAACATTTAATACATAGAACATTCTAACATCTTTACTTGTATCCTACCCCTAAGTCACATGGATAAGGAATATTCTAGAATCCTGAGGAAAGAGGTGGCTCCTCCATCCAGGGATTGTCATTTATGAGCTAAAGAATTTCATCAGTGTGGTCACTTTTATAAAGGTTCTTCAGCCGGGCATAGTGGCATACACATGTAATCCTTAACACTCAGCAGACTGAGACAGGCAAGAGGCTCACAAGTTTGAGGCCAGCCAGCACTGCACTTAAATTGTACATAAAGTATCAGGTCTTCAAAAGATACGCATTGTTTTAAAATAAACATACAAATATTGGGAGTACATACTCAATTACTTTACTGATAGAGGAGTACGCAATCCTAACTTTTTTTTGGTAGTACTGGGGATTGAACCCATGGCCTTTCCATTGAGCTACATCCCCAGCCATCTTTAAGTTTTTCTGATTTTTAATTTTAAAAGTCAAAGTCACTAAGTTGCCTAGGCTGGGTTCAAACTCTCAATCTTCCTGCCTCAGCCTCATAAAGTGCCGGGATTATAGGTAGGAACTACTCAGCTTATAAAACTTCTGATTTTCAAGTGCTTTCTTTGCTCTCTCATAACTCTCTACTTTCCAGTATGACTGGCAATATCATCAGTGTAGTCTCCCATAGTCATCCTTGTATTATGCCTGGGCTACCATCCAGAAATGCATTAATTGTTTTGTTCTGCTTTGTTTTGTTTGGAGACAGGGTCTAGCCACATTTATGTAGCCCAGGCTGGCCTTGTACTTGACATCCTTCTGGTTCAGCCTCTGGAGTGCTGGGATTAAAGGTATATGCCACTGTGCCTGGCTCACTTGTATCAGTTGTTAAAAATACAATCACAATATGTATTTTATTTTTTTGAGACAGGGTCTTACTAAGTAGCCCAGACTTGCCTCAAATTTGCGGTGATTCTCCTGCCTCAGCCTCCCGAGTACTGGGATTACAGGCATGCACCACTACACCCAGCACAATATGTATTTTAGAACCCAGACATCAGACCCAATATTTGGGTCTGTATTTTAGACCTTAAACATCAGTTAAGCCAAATGTGTATATTTGTGTGTAAATTCCATAAATTATTCTGAGTAGAACCACTTAGCAAAAAAATCAAATTCTGGGTGTAATCATCATGGAGCATATACAGTATATAGATATAGAGTATAGATATTCTTAAAGTTACTTTAACACTCTAAAAGGAATATCAATGTTAGTCACTATAGTAAGCATCATACTTGACAGTAAAATTTTAGATTACATTCCCACTAAAATCAGGAATAAGAAAAAGATGCCTGTTGTGTAACACTGGACAGAAAGCCTATTTACTACAATAAACCAAGTATGTTATGAACCATTAAATTAAAAAGACACCGGGCTGGGGATTTAGGTGGTTCTGCCACCTGCCTCGCAAGCACAAGGTCCTGAGTTTGATTCCCGGTACCAAAAAACAAAAAAAAGACACCAAGACCACAAAAGCAATAGACAAAAAAAAATAAATAAAAATAATAAATTTAAAAGAACCTATAGGTAAATTATTAGAACTATTATAATTAATAAATAACCAAAGTTGCTAGACACAAGATAATGGATAAAAATTTATAATATTCCTATCCATTAGTAAGAAATAAGATTATTAAGCACAAAAAGTCCATTTATTTAGCCATAAAACCCTAAGGTTTTACTAGGAAAAGATATAATAAAACATTTATACAACCAAAGGTCAAGACGAGCACATTTTTAAAAGTAAAACAAAAATGGAAATTGCCCTGATAGGAGACTTACTATGAAAGCCATAGGAATTAACAGAGTGCAATAGTGCAGTAACAGACCAATAAAAAATACACCAAAGGAACAGGATACAGAGATGTGTGGGACAGAGGGGCATTTTAAATTAGTGAGGAAAGAACAGATTCCTCAATGAATAACACTAGGACAATTGGTTAAGACTCCATCTCAAAATAAAAAATACGGGGTGGGGATGTAGCTCAGGGTAAATACCCTGAGTTAAATTAAATCCCTAGTACCACCAAAAAAGAGAGAGACTAAAATAGAAGAAACAGTACTAAGTCTCAATTTTTATATGATATCATCAGGATAAAAATTTCAAATAACTTTAATTCTATTTGTTAAAAAACAATAAAATCAAGTTTTAGCTGGGAATTTAGCTCAGTGGTTCAGCTGCCTGCCTTGCAAGCCCAAGGTCCCGAGGTCAATCTCTGGTACCAAAAAAAAATTTAATTTTCAAGCTCATTACTGAAAGGGATTTTTCTCTAGATTTCAAATCATTTCTGTTGAAAAATAATTTTTTTAAAAAGATCTTCAACTCTAAAGTTGAATTTTTATTAACAGAATTGTACATTCTTGGAATGATTTTAAATAATACAAGCTTAAGCACATCATGAAGTCAGTCTAGATACAACTAATCTATACACAATTTTAAATATGCCAAACAAATTTTGAAGGCAAATCATGTAGTTCTGATACTTAATTTACATTAAGTAAATTTAAACACACAAAATTTTTAAAAACTAATTCCATTTCAATTACAAAAATTCTACTTTTAGAAATAAATATGGCTTACCTGTTCCCTACAGAATCTTGAGAAATCTGAAAGTTTGGAATGATAGATGAAACTCCATATTCATCCTGATACTTCTTACAAGATTTGTAATGATGTCTCATACGATAAAACTTAATCTGTAAATTATTGATTAAAACTGTGATTTTTAATTTAAAATAGAACTTAAGATTTGCAATATGGTCAACAAAAAAGGATAAGAATATTAAATATTTCATTTAAGCAATATCTTTTAAAAAATAATCATATACTCCTTTAAAAAATGTTTTATTTTTATTAGTACATGTTTGCAGTACGTAATTACATTCATCATGGGGAGCTGATACATGTACATAACATATATTAAAATTTTTTTTACTTCTCCTTAATTCTTAAGTAGGAACTAAAATAGGTAATGCATTTTTGTTCTGTAGATGCAGAGACCATGACCATGGACAAGAGTCTATCTTCTATAAACACTGCAAAAAAAATTAGTAATTTTACACTTGAAATGATACTATTTAAAAAAAAAAAAGAAAAAAAGTATAAGAAGCTGCGTCAGGCTATTGGGCATTTCTTTAACTGCTATAGCCTGGAAGGGTTTCAAAGTACTTTTAAAAAATGAAGTTCCCAGGTTAATACCAGGAATATTTTTCAGTTTCTTACTGAAAAGTAAAGCCAGAACCTCTCAAGTATGTTTTCCAGCTACACTTCAATGCCCAGTCAGTTCAACACTTTCTCCAAAGAGATGGAAAAGCAGAGTTGACTTGTATGAACGCAAAAAATAGCAACTGGTTTTGCTCAGTGACTTTTTAAGCTGTTAGAAAAAAATGTGTACAATAAATCTATAGGCACATAGATATACTCAACGCCTAACCACTCCTCACCATTTCATTCCTTCTCCAAATAGAACAATGAAGTCAAGATCAGAGAATCAATGCTGGTTATTTGCCAACACCTGATTTTTCCACCTGTTCCTTAAAAATGAACGAAATTCCTCTGTAAACTATTGTGTGATTTCTTAGACAACCACATAAATAAAGTGGGCAGCTAGAAAGTTCCTTAATTATATCCATATGGCCAAACTACTAACATTTTGTGTGTAAAGTTGCAATAATGATGTTACTGTAAAAAAAAAAAAAACTACTTAAGGGTTGAATCTGTAACACAATGGGGTACAAATGGGCTAAATGGTCATTTAATTTAGAAAATAATCAATGAGCAAGTACTTTGAGGAAAATACCATCATAAGAATTATGACAAATTCAGAGATTTTTACTGGTCAGTCTCTGTTCCCAAAAAGTTTCTAAGCTGGTAAATTCTATAGCCACACCTTTTTTGGGCTTTTCTATCTACTTCCCAACATAAATAACATCTTTCTCTTGAAAATAGCATTCACCCAGGGAATTCAAACAAGAATTTCAGAGTAAAACTTTACTTTCAAAGGGTTGTGATACATTGACTCTACCTGTTTCCCACAGCATCTGCAGCTACCAGAAAACTTTCGCATGATATTTTCAAGATCTAAGGCCCGTTCTGGACACGCTCTTTCTCTTCTAGTCACATTTCCACGACACAAGGGACAATGTATTCCACTTTCTCTCATTGCAGTCAGGAAACATTTTCTACAGAAACTGAACCAAACATTTGTTAAATGTTAAACACAGAAAAAAATAACTTTTCACTCATAATTAAAAACAAGTGAGGGCTGGGGATTTAGCTCAGTGTTGTCACCGCCTGCCTCACAAGCTCAAGTTCCTGAGTTCGATCCCCAATACCAAAAGAAAAAAAAAAGTGACTATAGATATACATTTATGCTAAATAAGTCAGGCTATTCATACATACAGCGTGATAAAAAATACAGTAAATGTTTACATTTTAAAATATTACTGTAAAAAACACACTGACATTAATCCTCCTCAAAGTACTCCCCTCATCCCGCCACCTGCCTTACAAGCACAAGGTCTCGAGTTCAATCTCTGGTACAAAAAAAATAAAATACTCCCCTCTTGCTTTTAACACACCTATCTCATCATTTTTTCCATTTTCTGAAGCAGTTCTGGAAATCCTCTTTCATGAGTGTCCATAGCACACTTTATGACTGCCTCAACGTCCTGAATTCATCCAAAATATCTACCTCTCGGTCACTGACTTTGGGAAAAACCCAGAAGCCACACGGTGTCCGAGCCACTAAGGTAGATGAGGACACATGTTTTTATGTGAGAGAAATTGCTATGTTTTGAATAGATTCAGGATACTGAGGCAGCCACAAAAAGAAAACTCATGAAAAAGGATTTCCAGAAATGATTCAGAAAGTGGTAAGAACAACGAGGTGTGTTTGAAACAAGGTGGGATATTTTGAGGGGAATTAATGCCAATGTGTCTTTTATTGCAATAAATTTTTTTAGTTTTTAAATATCCAGTTTTTTAGTGTTTTATACACTGTTTCCACACCCTGTATATCTCAAAAATTCAAGAGCTATTTATGTATTTCTCAGAGAATAAGAGTAGTAACTGCAATAGAAGGCAATATGAAAGAAACTATACTCAAGTCTGCTCTACAATTTTTTAACCGAGTATATGAAAAGTAAATGTTAAATATGGTCCAAAGAAAGAACTGAAGCTTATTCTGGCTCTGCCATTTAGTAGCTATAAGAAACAACACAGGGCTGGGAATGTAGCTCAGTGGCGCCGCACCTACCTGGCAAGCACAAGGTCCTTAGTTTGATCCCTGGCGTTGGGGGGAGCACACCAAAACACATTTTCTCCCTTTACAGAAAGAGATGGCCAGGGATGCAGCTCAGCAGCACAGCACCTGCCTGGCAAGCACGAGGCCCTGAGTTTGATTCCCAATACCAAAAATAAAAAATAAAAAAATGAAGAGATGGACATTAGATTTGTCTCAAACTGGTGTGTGTCAAAATGTTGTTCCACGAAATGTGATTAGGTCTACTACAAAAGGACTGCACAACAGGTCTACAATGGTAGTTCCGTGTAAAACTATCTAGAATAGGTGAGGCCCTGAGTCTGATCCTTAGCAGTGCCAAAAACAAAAACAGAGTACACAGATTTGAGAAACTCTAGGATGTAGTTAAGTTTTTCTAGTAGAGGAAACTATTAAGTGTTGTCCAAACTTATTTGATCAGGATACTTAAAACTTTCCCAAATGTACAAAGAAACACAATTTGAAAAATATTTAAGAACACTTCCAGCTTTAAACATTTACAGCCAATAATCTAAGCAGAACCAAACTAAATAAAAATATTTCTTCTTCTCTAAGCTCATCACCAATAACCACGTTTGATCATTTTCCTTTTAAGAGAACTACACAAATCACAGATACCTATACTTGAGATTCAAAGGAAGAATGCATTTAATCAAATCCCCTATACATACAAAATAAACTTAATATTCCTCATGTATACAAACAAAAGTGAGGTAATAGTACAATAAGAGATCACAGAACCTGAGTTCCCTAAGCAGATAGCACTGAACAAGTCACTTTCCCCCTATAAAATCAATTTCCTCACCTACAAAATTATAAAAGTATCTACACTTGAGCTGTTAAGAAGATTAAAATACATGATGCATGTAAACTACTATTCACTGTATGTATGACAAACAGGAAAATCCTCAATAAATAGCAGCTAATACCATTAAAGTAGTATTAAAACTGTTACCAGGGCTGGGGATTTAGCCTGCCTCGCAAGCGCAAGGTCCGGAGTTTGATGCCCAGTACCAAAAAAAAAAAAGTGTTACCAAATAAGACCATACATTAAAATCACTTGTCACACTAAAAAATTTTTTAAATAAGCATCAAATTTTACTCCATAATTATGTACTTCTATAAAATGTCAATAAACAGGTGTTAGTGAAGAAACAATAAAATGAATGTTTCAGGTTTCCAGACAACAATATTTCAGTATTTATCAAAATCCTTAGAGCATGATGGTGAACCTTTTAAAGCTTTCAATTAAACAAACAGCCTGCTGAAGTATACATGCCATAGGTTTGTCACCACTGCCTTAGTGGGTGTCCCAAAAGCCTTAGTGCCATTTTGATCTTTGCTAACTCTAGAAATTCAGGTAATCAATCTTACAAAACAATAGCTGTAAGTTTAATTATTTAAGTTAAAAATTGAAAAAGTTTTTCATTTAAATACTTCATTCTGGCTAACATCTGCATTCTTTAATCAAAGGGGCTGAAAATGAAAAAAAGAGAAGACTTACATACTACCCTCTCCCCAACAAAAACAACTGGAAACAATTAGATCATGACATACTCCACTACAGTGGGTGTAGGAGGGAGGAACAAGATTTTTATTTTACAGAAAACAGCTCTCAATGTTTGTGATTGCCTATATAATATACAGAGGGAGTGTCTTAGTTACTTTTCTCTGTTGCTGAAACAAAATACCTGACACTCAAGTTAAAGGAGGAGATTTATTTAGCTCACAGTTCACAGAGGTTTCAGTTCAGAGTTGGTAGCTCCAAGGCAGGGTGGTGTGGAAGAGGGGCATCACAGAAGAGAAATAGCTCATGGCAGGAAGAAGGCAGCAACAGCAAGTGACAACCAACAACACTGTTTCTGTCCTTTATATTTTATTCAGGATATTTGTCCTTAGGGTGGGTAGCACTCACACCCAGGGAGGGCCTTCTCATTATCCTCTCCCAGAACTATGCCAAACCAATCAATAGAATAATTTAGTAATCACACACCCTTGATCCTAGGATCACACACTCTAGACCCAGCCATGTCTGAGAAGCCCCACCTGTAACGACGTCAGGCTTTGGGGGGACATGCAGACCCAAACCCTAACATTCTGCCTCTCCCCCTCAAAGACGAATGTACCTCCCTTTATGCAAAAGGCAATTAGTCCAGGACTAGGGATTTAGCTCAGTGGCACCACCCTGGTACCAAAAACAAAACAAAAACAAAAGGCAATTAGTCCATCTCTAAGAGTTGCCAAAGTCCTAATAAATTTCATCATTGCTGAAAAATCCAAGTCCAAAGTCTCCTCTGAGATTTAAGGCAAACTCTTAGCTGAGAGCCCCTGTGCAAATGAAAAGAAAGTTAAACACTTCCAACATTCAATGGCACAAGCTAGACATTGCCATTCCAAAAGGTACAATCAGAGGGATAGAAAGGAATGGGAACAAAGCAAGTCCAAAATACAACAGGGAAAACACTAAGTCCCGTAGTTCCAGGTTCAGCATCCAGGCAATGTAGATGTGAACTCCAGAAGGCTTGAGTGGCTCTGCCCCTATGACACTGCTGGTGGTTTTAGCTTCCACAGCTTCTCTCTTGGGCCAGCTCTGCTCCCTCCTTGTAGTTTTCCTCAAACGATTCATGCTCCTGGCTTTTCCAAACTTCTGGGGTCTCCACTTTATCTTCAGCTTCACACGGCCTCACACACCACCCTCTCAAAGGCATACTGCCTGGTCTCTCAAGCCTTCTTCTGAAATCTGGGTAGAAGCCTTCCTGACCCTCCAACTCTTGCATTCTGCATGGACCTAAAACCAGCACCAGGGAGATGATGCCAAGGTCTGCCGCTAGCTGGAGCAATAGCCAAGCTTCCTTCTCTCTTGGCTGTAAAGGTCAAGTGTTTATGATCCAAAACCCAAAGAAAAACTTCTCCAGGCCACTGCCATTCTGGAACATGGTGTTCTGGGGCTCTCTTCTCAAAGAAGTCTTTCATTTTTGCAATTTGGAGGCTGTGAAGGGTGGCATCCTGCTGGTTCCTGCGTTGTCCACAAGACATCTTTTCTATTGTTCTTTTCTGAAATACTTGACTTTTTCTTGCTAGTCTTTTCAGTGACAAATTTCTTCTCTGTTTCTTCTTTGCAGCCAACAACTTTACTAGAGCTTCCTTTCTGGCCAAACTCAAAACATTTTAAATCAGTCTGCAGGCCTCTTTGCTCTTGATTCTCAACATAAATCTGGCTAAAAGCCCCTAACAGTAGCCATGCAGCCTCAACATTAGACTGCCTTAAAATTTCTCCTGCCAGATTAATCAGTCCATCACCCTTAATCTTAGTCTCAGCAAAGTCTCTTGACACAAGCAAAGTGCAGCAAACTTTCTGCCAAGGCATAACACACATCATCTGGAATCCAACAGTCAATGCAGTCCTGCTTCCCAGGAGAAACGTCCTGAGCCTGGTTTTTACTGGCAGCATTTCTATCAGCATTTTGGTCTTCTGAGCTATGATCAGAATCTCTCATCAAGTACAGTTTAAGGCACTCCAGGGCTGCTTTTTCAGCCAACATCTCCAAACCTTTTCAAAGTCTTCCCACAAGCCAGTTCCAAAGGATCCTAAACCACATGGCTAGGTAATGTCACAGCAACAACCCCACTTCTGGTAGCAAACTCTGTCTTGGTTACTTTTTCTCTTAACCAAGACAAAAATATCTGAAACCCAAAGTTAAAGGAGGAAAGGTTTATTTAGCTTACAGTTCATAGAGGTTTCAGGTCATAGATGGCTGGCTCCATAGCAGAGTGGCACAGCAGAGGGACACTGCAGAGGAGAAATAGTTCATGGCAGGCAGAAGGCAGCAAGTAATAACCAACAACCCTCTTTCTGTCCCTTATATTTTATTCAAGATACCTGCCCTTAGGGTGAGTAGTACTCACACT